AAGTACATATATACAGAGATTTATTGATTTACTGATTTATTTTGGAAACAAGAGTCTCTATCTGTTGCCCAGGTTGGAGTACAATGTTGTGATCTCAGCTCACTGCAACCTTGGCCTCCAAGGTTCAAGTGATCCTCCTGTCTCAGCTTCCTGAGTAGTTGGGATTACAGGCACATGCCACCATGCCCAGCTAATTTTTGTATTTTTTGTAGAGACTGGATTTCTCCATGTTGGCCAGGGTGGTCTCGAACTCCTGACTTCAGGAAATCCACCTGCATCGGCCTCCCAAAGTGCTAGAATTACAGGTGTGAGCCACCGCGCCTAGCCAAAATATTTTAAATAAAGTTTTTCTAAGGCCATTAAAATCCTTGGAGGAGAGGAGGGATCAACTGAGGACTAAGCATCGTGGCTGTGTCAGGGTCACAGGTAAATGAGACCAGGGCAATTCACCAGGTAGCAGGTGAGACAGATCAGCTGCAGTCCCTAGTCTCTCTAATGGAATGGGCTATGAGAGCAGGAGGAGGAGGAGATAGTTCTACTCTACCCAGGGATGCAGGGAAAGAGAACAGGATATCCTGGGCATAAAAGATCCAAGGAATTGTTCTGTCCTTGTTGGTTGTATGACCTAGGGCAAGTCACCTCCTCAAGTAAACTTCGGCTTCCTCATGCAAACAATTCAGGGAGTGGACCAAATGGCCTCCACACCAGGTCAAAAAATCCTCACATAAGACTGGCCATGGTGGCTCATGCCTGTAATCCCAGCACTTTGGGAAGCCGAGGCGGGCAGATCACCTGAGGAATTCAAGACTAGCCTGGCCAACATGGCGAAACCCCGTCTCTACTAGAAATACAAAAATTAGCCAGGCACAGTGGTGCATGCCTGTAATACCAGCTACTTGGGAGGCTGAGGCAGGAGAATCGCTTGAACCTGGGAGGAGGAGGTTGTGGTGAGCAGAAATCGCCCCAATGCACTCCAACCTGGGCGACAGACCGAGACTCCATCAAAAAAAAAGAAAAAATCCTGACATATTCTGACAGAATTTCTTTTTCCCAGGATGTTTCTTCCTAAGATGCCACATTCATAGTCCCTGACTTCAATGCTAGCTGTAGAAGGCAGCAGGGAATTGAGGATGGGATGCATCCCGTCTTCACCTCCCAATTACCAAGACTCAGGTTCATCCCTTATTCATTCAACAAATATGTGTCTGGCACTGTTCTAGGAGTGGAGGATACAGAGGTGAATAAACCTAACAAGACTCCCTTTTTCACTGAGCTCACATCCTGGCTCAGGGAGAATTCTACTTAGGAGAAATAGACAGTGAATAAGATATGTAGTTACATTAGGTGGCGATGCACCTAATTAAAGGAGGAAAAGAGATAAAAGGAACGTGGGATATAGGGAAGAGGCTGCAGCTGTAGCTGGGAGTGGCCAGAGAAAACTTGGCTGAGCAGGAGACGCTAAGAAAAGGTTTGCAAGGTGGAGGAAGGCAGTCATGCAGCTATCTTGGAGAGTATTCCAGGCAGGGAGAAGGGCTGCAGTGGGAGCATGGCTGGCATGCTGTAAGGACAGTGGGAGGCCCATGCTGCTAGAGCAAAGGATGCGAAGGGAAAGTGGTGAAGGAAACTTTCTGGGATGCATGGAAGGAAGGTCATGGAAGTCGGGGGAGAGTTCATGGAGCCTGGCAGGACTCTGGGAAGCCATTCGAAGGTTTTAAGCAGAGAGACATGATCTGACTTGAGTTGGATCTCAGGATCACTCTGAGTGGGAGCTGAGAGTAACTAAAGGGAACAAGTTGCAGAAGTAGATCCCAGCTCTGCAAGAGACAACTAGCTCTGAAAATGTCTGGCTGGAGTTGGGGAGGGAATCCCTTAAAGAGAGGGCAGGCTACCCTGCAGTGCCTTCAAAGCATCAGCCTTAGGGGATGAATCAAGCCTGTCTTGGAAGAAACTTTCCACCAAGCGGCCCCGGGAAGCAAACCCTGCATTCAACGGAAGCAAGAAGCTCAGAAACAAATGGACGCCTCTAAATAAAGCGTTCCTTTACATTTATAGAGGCCATTAATCCCATTCCAACCGGAAAGAAGGAAAACAAACCATGGCAGTCAGCTCTCCAAGGCCCTCAGCTCCGGCCAACTGGAAATACCTGTGAAAAGAGACCCTATCCCATTAACCCAGCTGCACACTGCCATGTGAAAGGGGCCCTATTATTAAGTAGCATGTAATTGTTCCACATTACTGATATCGTTAAAGCATCTCAGAATATTTCCATGGCCAGGCTGAAGAAGAAAAAGTAGTTACCAGGGCACACAGGCACAAAGGGCCTTTTGCCAAACTACTTAGATATTTTAATTCCCCGTTGCCTCAGTAGCTAAATAAGCATGGAGAACAAGCAGGCGGGGAATACTAATTAGAGCTAATTAGACCCTGCCCTCTTCTGCCTCAATCCCCTTTATAAAAAGCTCCCCCAACTCAAGGATGATGGAGTTAAAATGTAAATCCATAGGATAAACAGCAGTCTGCAGACCAATGACGCACTGTTTGCATTTCATTGTCCTGTCAGCTCTAAACCAGTGCGTGGTTACCTACAGAGAGCTGCAGACACAGCCAGATTCCAAAAACCCCATCACAGACCACAGGAAATGTGGTAGGGGGTGAGGGGGAGGGGAAGGGTGCTGCCAACAAGAGTCCACTAAATAAAACAAAGAGCTTTCTTAGGATGTGCAGAGCATTCACTAGAAGAACATTTGATTGCTTTTTAAAAAGAAATGAATGTGACAGCACACATAATACCAGTGGTGTTGCAGAATCAAGACGGTGCTCCTCTCTGTCTTAGCAAAGGCAGCGTGGAAAAGCCTCACGTCAGTGAGAGCCCTGGTTTTGTGGGATGACCACGTCCTAGGGTTCGGTCTGCAGTCTCTTGGCCATAAGTTAATAGAGAGAGCAGGAGATAACACTTGGTGAGGTCGGGAAGGGGTTGTCAGCCGGCCAGGGACTTGTTTGAAATGAGTCCCTGAAACCTAAGGTCAGTTTCCCGTTGGAAATCCATACTGAGATGAAAGGGTGGTTAGAGTAACAGAGAAAGCCACTCAGCCACTGGTCCAGGGACACCAAGGCAGGCATGGCCTTGAGGGTCACCTTTCTTTTCTCAGTAAGTTTTTTTCTTTCAAATCATGTTTCTAGTAGCAAGACAGAAACGCACTCTGAATAAAGTACCTGTAGTGCTTCAAGAAGAAAAGAAGCGGAGGGAAGAAAAAAAAAATACCAGAATGTTGAAGTTAATTCAGCAACACTGAGAAACTAGGAGAAATCACACAGATGTGAGTCAGCCTCTGCTAACCCTGAGAAGCTTCAAGGCCTTAAGAGGTAAGCAGCAAGTTCTGGAGGCCATGGCTTGCTCCACCACCACCATCAAAACCGGTGGTCAAAGAAATGGGCGGAGGCTGGATGTGGTGGCTCTCACTTGTAATCCCAGCACTTCGGGAGGCCAAGGCAGGTGGGTCACCTGAGTTTGAGACCAGCCTAACATGAATAAACGTAGTCTCTTCTAAAGATACAAAATTAACCGGGTGTGGTGGCGCATGCCTTTAATCCCAACGACTCAGGAGGCTGAGGCAGAAGAATCACTTGAATCTGGGAGACAGAGGTTGCGGTGAGCTGAGATGGCGCCATTGCACTCCAGCTTGGGCAACAAGAGCAAAACTCCGTCTCAAAAAATAAAAAAATAAAAAATAAAAGAGAGATGAGCAATGGGAAAAAAGAACCCGAAAGAGTGCAAATGAACTACCATGCTCAGTGCTTTTCTCCTCCCTAAGCTGAGTCAGGTAGGACAAAGGGTACTGGACCAACATTGTCCCTGGTTCACCACTCCTGATCCAAGTACAGGGGAAGGGCAAGGTCACTTCCTTCCTGAGTCCAGGTGAGAAAATGGACATCACTGTGAAGATGTGAACTTTGAAAAAGAGAAAGCACGAAGCAAGTGGAAAATAATGTATTTTTAAAAATTATTTGCAGCCTGGCATGGTGGCTCATGCTTTTAATCCCAGCACTTTGGGGGACCAAGGCAGGCAGATCACCTGAAGCCAGGAGTTCAAGACCTGCCGGGCCAAACTGGTGAAACCCTGACTTTACTAAAAATACAAAAATTAGCCAGGCATGGTGGTGGTGCCTGTAATCCCTGCTACTCCAGAGACTAAGGCAGGAGAATCGCTTGAACCTGAGAGGTGGAGGTTGCAGTGAGCCGAGATGGCACCAATGCACTACAGACTGGGCTACCAGAGTGAAACTCTGACTCAAAAAAAAAAAAAAAAAAAAAATTGCAACTGGAAATTATTATAATTCTGTTTATCAGAATTACAGAATATCAAGCTGGAGAGGAACTTAGAAGCCATCTCCTTTGGCAGTTTCTAAACTTCTGATTTTCAAAGAAAACTAAGATTTAAAAACAAAACAAAAGAAGCAGAAAAAGAGAACGGGAGCTTAACATAGGATTGCCAGATTTTCTTATTTTGCCAAAATTAAAATCTGTCTATTATCACTAAAAAGTATTAAAGGAACATTTTCCCCCCAAAAAAGAAAAAGTGCCTACTTTCAAACTAAAGGAAAGTCCTTGTGGAGCAGGGGAGTGTTGACAACAATACATTCCTGTGTGATGCGGGATACTTCTCCCTTCTCTTCGCTTTCCCTAGGGACCCATGAAAATATCCATGATGGGCACTGGCTGCCGGATGGGTGTTTGGAATCCACGCATCTACTCCAAGCTCTGGAGTTATTATTTTCCCATTTAAAACAAAAAACAAAAACCTCGCTACAATATTACGTTTTAATTAGGGTCTGAACGAATTTTTTGTTTACTCAGACCCCTCCTCCACTATTAAACCTAAACTTCCACTGCCTTCAAGTAAATGAGACAGCCTGGGGGAACATTCCTCCCCTCGAGCAGCCAGGCAACCACTTGGCTCACAAGAGCAATCGAGTATCTCCGGCTGGAAAGTGAATAGAGCACTCTTATTTATTAAAGGAAAGGAGAAAGTCCGCATCCCAAACAAGTGCATCCTTCCTCGAGGGCCTCCGAACTGCCACGTCTGGTCCTCTCCCAACTCCGAAAACTAAGAGCAGGTAACGGAGGGATCCTCGCACAGACGCCAGCCCACAGCAGCGTCGGGCTAAGGCAATCTCCACAGCCCCTGTCCTCTGCCCCAGAATCCACCACACTTAGGGGAGCGTGAGGCTCGGGGTGTGTGCAAATCGCGGGAGAAAGTCGGGCAGAAGGAATATGATAAAGTCCCAGGTGGGGCAGTGGTTTGGAACGCGGGTCCCCCCTTGGGTTTGCGGTGGCGTGGGTGAGGGTGAGGAGGAAGCAGGCGGGGAGGGGGCTGGTCTAGGCGCAGCGAACTCCAGGATTCGAACCGGGCCCTGTGCCCCCGCGTTTCAGGCGACGAGCCCTACGGAGCGGAGGTGGCCCCGGGCTTTGGCGGGGGCTTCGAGCCACCCTTGCTTCCCCGGGAACCGGGCACCAGCAGCATCCCCTCCCCCCGCCCCCCCGGCAGCCCGCCTGTCCCCGGCCGGCCACAAGGGTCGCTTTGTGCCCGCGAACGGAGAGCCCGGGCCCTAAGTCAGGGCTGGTGGCGGTCCTCCCCGTGCCCTGGGCGCGGGCGCTGGCGGGCTAGGTCAGCAGACCAGCCGGGCTGTTTACACAGGAAGGGAAGCTCCTCCTCAGCCCGGGAGGGGACAGGCGACTCCCGACAGCCCGGCGGGGCTGCGCGCAGGGGGTGGCGCACGCAGTTCGGGAGAGCCCCGCGGGGCTGTCCGCGAGCGACTGGCCCACCAGGGAATGCCCCGAGGGCGCCCTCCGCCCTCCGGCACCGCCTGCGCTCCCCGCCCCTCAGAGACGCCCGCCAGCTGCTGTGTGCGCGACAAAGTTTCTTTGGGGACCGCGGGCGGCGCGGCTTACCTGCGAGCCGGGGCAGGAGCGCGCAGAGCCCCAGGAGGCAGGCGTACAGCGGCGCCGGGGCCCGCGGCATGGTGGGGCGCCTGCCTCAGCGGCGGCGCGGGCGCTGCACTCCGCGGGGGCGGGCGGCCGGGGCCGGGGCGGGTGCCGGAGCGCGGGGGCCGAGGGCCGGGGGCCGCAGCCGCATGCCCCGCGCGCAGCTCCGGCTCACGGCGCCCGCGCTGGCCCGCGCCCCGCCGCCACCATCCCTCGTGCAGCGCTCACGGCCGAGTCCCGGGGCCTCGGCTGCCCTGGCTGGCGGGCCGGGACGCCTGGGGTGTCGCCGCTCGGGACGGCCCCGGCGGGCGGCTCCGGGCAGGGAGGGGTTGGCTCCGCTCCGCGGCCGCGACTTGGGCTCCTAGACGCGCCCCGCGCCGAGGCTCCCCCGCGCGCCGGCACACTCTGCGCTTCGCCTCCGCCCCTTCCTTTCCTCCCTCCGGCCCGCCAGGCTCCACTTTCCTCCTCTCCTTTCTCCTCCCCTTCTCTCCCCTGCCAGGCCCCCGCCCGGCCGCCACACGGTCAGCTTACGGCGAGGCGGGGCGGGGCGAGCTCCGGGCCGGGCCAGCTCCGCCCTGTGCTGGGACCGGCCCGGGACGCGGAGGCCGGACTGGCCCAGGTGGAAGTCGCTTGCGGCTCACTGGGGGCGTGGGGAGCTCGAAAACACTGAGTAGAGCCCGATCCGGTTGCTTAGCCGCCAGTCGCCACGGGAAGGGGCGGGGCACGCCGCATTAGGCGAGCCGAGATTACTTGGGCCAAAGACGGTTGCTAGACTGCGAGGGGGAGAGCAGGTACTCGGGTCGGGCCGGGGCCACTCCTCCTCCCAAAGCCGCACGGACGGCGGCCCTCGCCCGAGGTGGGACGCAGACGCCTGTGCGTGGAACCGCAAGGCGACTTCTGGATGGGCAAGGGAGGGCACAGTGGGGCGTGGAGGCACAGGTAGAACCTACGTTTCACCTTTTTCTTTTTTTTTTTTAACGGCATCTCGCTCTCACTCAGGCTGGGGTGCAATGGCCCAATCTCGGCTCACTGCAGCCTGGACTTCTGGGCTCAAGGGAACCTCTGCCTTAGCCTCCTGAGTATCTGGGACTACAGGCGAGCACCACCACACCCGGACAATTTTTACATGTTTTGTAGAGATGGGGGTCTCGTCGTGTTGCCCAGGCTGATCTCGAACTCCTGGGTCCAAGCAGTCTTCCTGTGTCTGCCTCCAAAAGTGCTGAGGTGATAGGCGTGAGCCACCTCGCCCAGCCCCTTTTCACTTTTTAACATTTGCACCTTTCAAGGGTTTGAGACTGGCCAATATGCCGCTATACTTCGTTTTCCTTACTGATAACGTGTCAGTTTCCGTGATCAAACAGGCTCAAAAGTATGTCCTCAGGCTTTCATCTTACCATTTACATATGAGCTGGGTCTGAATTGGCCAATAAGGAGTGGGGTGGGTCTTCCTGAGCTGGTGCTGCAAAGGATCCCTTGGGCTTGGCTTGGCTACAGCAAGTGGTTTATAGTCCAGAGAGAGAAGGTAGGGGAAGATTACAACAGAATACCTACCAAGTACAGAGAGCTCGCTGCCAGCCAGGCACTGTTTTAAGTGCTTTACCCATATTAACTTATTTCATCCCCCCTACAAACCCTACTGTTATCCAGTTGAGGAAACAGAGGGACAGAAGGGTTAACTACTGGAGGAAGTGACAGCTGGGATGCCTTGTTCAAAAGTGCAGCATGGCTTGGCAAAAACTGAAGCAGTAAGGGCTAAAGAATAAAGGGGTCTCACCTTTGCAGGTCAGGGACCAGGTGGGAGAATGGCTTGGAGGGCCCAGTGGAAAACTGTCCTAACTGCCCAGCTTAAGGAGTTTGGATGTTAGTTAACCTTTATTTGTCACCTCCTTCCAAACTCTAACAAGGTGGTGCCTCAATTCCTGAGGAAGTAAACTTCTTGAAGTACAGTATAGTGTGTCTGGGGGCAAAGATGCAGCAGTCCATAGCAAGCGCCTTTATAGTATTTGTGAAAGGAAAATAAATCTTGGGGCCCCAAAATCACTAAACCAGGAGAAAAGTCAAGCTGGGAACCATGTCAGGCAAACCTGCCTCCCATTCTATTCCTCAATAAGATAGCTACAAAGTTAAGAAGCTACATACCTCCCTCACAATTTGCCTACAGGAAGTCCTTGTGGACAAAGGACAGACAGAACTCAAAGCCATCCCTCTGAGGCTCACCTGAGACAAAAGAATATCGGATTGCTCCCTCTTCCCTATTGTTTGTGTAAAAATACAGATTCCCTGAGCCAGATTAAATTATTCAGTGGAAAGCTGATCCAGGACTCAAAAGAATGCAACCTTTTGTCTCTTATCTGCTTCTAACCTGGAAGCTCGCACTTCATGTTGTCCTGTCTTACAAAACCAAACCAATGTACATCTTACATATATTGATATCTCGTGTCTCCCTAAAATGTATAAAAGCAAACTGTTCCCCCCTGATCATCTTGGGCACATATCAGGACTTCCCATTATTGGTACATCCTTAACCTTGGCAAAATAAACTTTCTAAATTTACTGAGACCAGCCTCAGATATATTGGGTTGACATATTCTTTAATATCCTCATGTTTGTTTTGATGGAAAATGCTTGTCCCTAAACATTTTACAGGAACTGCCCTGTTATCTTGGAGCTACCTGCCCCTCAGGTCAGTGGCCTTGGAGCTACTCTTATCCCAGTTTTCGAGGCAATGATTATAAATAAAGGGGCCAGCAGCATGTGGCTCATTCCTCTAATTCTAGCACTTTGGGAGATAGCTTGAGGCCAAAGTTCGAGACAAGCCTGGCCAAACATGGTAAAACCCTGTCCCTGCTAAAAATACAAAAATTAGCTGGGTATGGTGGCTGGTGCTTGTAATCCCAGCTACTCTGGAGGCTGGGGCCTGTGAATCACTTGAACCCAGGAGGTGGAAGTTGCAGTAAGCCAAGATTGAGCCACTGCACTCCTGCCGGGGCAAGACTGTGTCTCAATCAGTCAGTCAATCAAAGCCCTGAAAGAGCTTGAGCTATGAGATGTTGTGTCCCAAGTGGTGATTTTAAAAGATTTGTCTGGCAGGGGTGTGTAGGATAGATTAGGTGGAAGGAGAGTGGAGTCCTGGAAACTGGGTAAATTGCATTAATAACTACCATAAAAATTAGCATTTGTCCAGCATTCTTTAAGCCTAAGCCCTTTGGAGCAGATCCTCTGTGCGTAACCTTCCTTACTCCAACCATGGTGTTTTACAGACTCTTGAAATATTTGATCTGTCTCCGACTCAGACACAATACAGACCGCCACTTACCTAAACCGTACCTG